CACACAGACAGGGTCGTCCCAATATGCGTTTTTGCAGTTTGCATATAGGCAAAAACGCATAAAAATGCGTGACGAGCGGTGTTATTATCGTGACCATAACAAGAAGCAAAATCCAAAACAGGAAATTGGAGCGCCGTTTGCTTACAAACAGTGGATACCGGATTTCATTAGCAGCGGTGAAAAAGCAAGCTGCTATCGATTTAGCTGATAGCAGCTCTATGGATGAGGTTGTGAGTGCATTTTAGATGGATCGAGGTTACTCGGCTGACGAGTTTTGATTGCTTCTGAAAATGAATCGGCTGAGAATGAACAAAACAGAGGTTCTATGCGTACGTCGTGCTAGCATCTGCAAAATTAGCACTAATTCTGTAGTTTGTTCTGCAGCAGTGCTATGCACAAATTCATCCTGGAAAAGACAGTGCTGAGTGCAGCGTGCATCCGTAAACAACTCTACCGTCGTCGACTGTGTATTTCAGTTAGTGTATCCAGCAATGGCTAATGCAAACGATAACGCTGTTGATCTGGATAGCCTAATCAGTCGTTTATTGGAAGGTTATTTCTGTTATAATTTTGCGCTGCAACAGCTAGAGTCTACCTATACGTTCTAATTTTCGTCCGGGGTTTTCAAGCTAATAAAGCTAGGTAGCTGAAATTCTAGGAGGATGTCTTCTGCCCACATGCAAACCAGCAGGTTTAAATTCAGCTTTCATGTACGCCTAGTTCTTACATACGGACATGTGAAAGTTTTGGTGAGAAATGCATTAAGATGATAATCAGATAAGAAAGAAGACTGGAGTTTTACAACAATGCTTTATATAAATGTGCGGGTCTGGAAATTTGAATTTAACCTCTACGTATGCTTACACTTCGTGTATGGACAAGTAAAAGTTTTGGCTGAAAATTCTTCAATTCAGTAACCGGAAAAGCTAGAAAGCTAAAATTTGGGGAGATGTGTCCTGCCCATGTGCCTTTTCAGAAAAACTTAAATTGGGCTTCAACTGAGCCTGGTTCCCAGATACAGAGACGTGGATTTTCACGTGGGAAACTTTTAGTTCAGGAACCAGGCAAGAGGCGAAGATCAAATTTCAAGGCACTGGATCCTGTCAATTTGCAGCTCTAGATATATGAATTCAACCCCCACGTGTGTTCATTTTTCACGCACGACACGTGAAAGTATAGGCAAGAAATTTTTCTCTAATCCGGAAACCAATCAAAACAAAATGTTGAAATTTTAAGATTTCCGTGTTGCCCTAGAAAATTAAATTTAGCTCTCATGTACTTCCACCTTTCATTTAATAAGGATACGCAATATCTTTCTAGCTGTTCTGAAAAAACTGTGCAAAACGCATGCTCACATCGGTTACTTAATGCTCGCCACTGTTATGTTATCGACACACGTGGATTAATCAGTTTTCATGTTATTTGCCGGAATTTCACTGCACCTAGCTGTGCTGGGAAACGGTGTCGTCGGCAAAGGAGAGCAACTTTCTGGCGGCCTCTAATTGGTTCCGTCAAATCGGTCCCATATCCAGCTTACTTTTCAACTAAGCCTATGATGTGATAACTTTGTTCATCGCTGTAAAGATGCAGTCGTCCGGTGGTGCCACCCAAATGCCTGCATATTTCCAAGGATTTAAAATGTGGGAAACAGTTAAGAACTACTTACAATAAGGCGCAGCGAGGAATGATACTATTACAGCCAGTCTTCAGTGCACAGCACGCAACGCTAAATGCATTGGGAGTCCGGAAAAAAGCTCGTTGAATTCCATTCAGCTCATAAACTGCTGCAAAATTCTCTAAACGATTTATGGACAATTTCAAAAAGTAGCTACACACAATATGAATGCATTTGGAAGTTGCTAGAAGTATGCGGGGAGATGTGCAAAAATTACCTACTTGTAGTGTTTGACTTTTTGGTGCATGTTGCTTGT